AGGGAAAACTCTATGGTTTTCCCTCGGATGGTTGTGGCCCCGCCCCCAGCATGCCCGGTGTCATCACATCACTTTCGGGTGACGTGTGTGCGGCGCGTGCGTACGCTCCAGCCGCGGCACAGGAGTCCCCCGGTAAGGAGACATTTTGACTTGGCAACCCTAATCTATCTGCATAGAACTAAAATTATAGCAGCCTTTTTAAAGCTCCTGACCTGTTTCACGATGGGCACACCTACACTATTGATTTAAATGGGATTGACAGTCACGTGTTCTTGCTGTGTGGAATCCTGGGAACGGTCATTCCCAGGAGACAGGAGGTGGCCCAGGGATTTCTGGGGGGGGGGGGGGGGAAGAATTCTCGAAAGACTCCCTCATCTAATCCAGATTCCTTCGGGGGTATTCATGCCAGTTTGTACATTGGTAGTGACCAAAGCGTCTTCTTCCTTAGCTGGCCACTAGGGGGAGAGGGAGGCAGACAGGTATGGGGGACGACGAAACCTTGCTGATGGCATGACATCACTTCCGGGAAATACCCAGAAGTGACATCACCGAGCCGATGCAACGCTCTAGGACAGTGGTGGCAAACCTTTTAGAGACCAAGTGCCCAAACTGCGACCCAAAACCCACTTATTTATCGCAAAGTGCCAACAAGGCAATTTAACCTGAATACTGAGGTTTTTCTTTAGAAAAAACAACTCATACATTAACTTAAGATGATCCAAACAAAGTAAGGAAAGCAATCCCAAATGCTTTCATTTAATTAAAATTATTTGGCAGGGAATTCCACACTTTAATGACGGTCTAGGCCTGGCTGGGGCGATGGCACACGTGGCCACAGAGAGGGCTCTGAGTGCCACCTCTGGCACCTGTGCCATAGGTTCGCCACCCCTGCTCTAGGATTTGCCAGAACTTTTCAGCATCCCCTCCCCCACCGTTTCAGCTGAGCCGGCAGGCAGGCAGAGCAGGTGAAGAGTGGTCAGTAGCAAGGCTCCCTCAAAGCTGCGGAGTCTGGTGAGCAAAGATTCTACTTTGTGAGCTGCTGGCATTAAAGTGGTGAGCGAGCGATTGGGCTGCTGCATGAATTCGTTTCCTCCAGAGCCCTCCTTCCTCAGCTAAGACAAAAACGCGAGAGCCAGAGGCTAAAAAAACAGTGAGCTGGCTCACACTAAGCTCAGCTTAGAGGGAACACTGGTCTGTAGTGTTGCCAACCTCCAGGTGGCACCTGGAGATATCCCACTAGTACAGGGTCACCAGATGTCCTCTTTTTAGAGGACATGTCCTCTCTTTTTGGCCTGTCCTCTTTTGGACTCTTAAAAAAAACAAAAAAACAACAGATGAAAATGTCCTCTTTTGGGGTTGGAAGGTTAGGAATATTCCTAGAACGAAGTTTGAGTCTGGTGGTGCCTTTAAGACCAACAAGGTTTTATTCATGTTGTGAGATTTCGTGTGCGCGCGCGCTTCCTCAGATACTCTGAGCCAGTTTGGTGTCGTGGTTAAGTGCGCGGATTCTAATCTGGGAGAACCGGGTTTGATTCCCCACTCCTCCACTCGCACCTGGCTGGATGACCTTGGGCAAGCCGTAGTTCTGATAAGAGCTGTCCTTGAAAAAGAGCAGTTTCTGTCAAGAGCTCTCTCAGCCCCACCTACCTCACAGGGTGTCTGTTGTGGGGAGGGGAAGGGAAAGGAGTTTGTAAGCTGCTCTGAGACTCCAAGTGAAGGGCGGGGTATAAATCCAGTCTCTTCTCTTCTTCTTCTCTACTCTGAAATGGAACTTAACAGTCTATCCTTCCATTTCAATATATTTGAGGAAGAAAACTTCATTGGTCTTAAAGGCACCACCGGACTCAAACGTTGTTCTGCTGCTTCGGCCCAACATTAAATCGCTGTATATAAATATACAATATAAGCAAAAAACTGTATAAGAATTTACATTGTGATATAATGGTGAGTTTATAAATTGTAAATCCTCCTTTATATATTAGAGTACAATTATGTTTTTTGTTGGATTATTAAGCATGTTACACTCCATTGCAGCTTGCAGTACTTTATTCCATTGAAGATAAGAATACAGACGACAAACCTGAAGAAGGATTCGTAAATGGACTTATACTAGAAATCCGTCGTTTGTCTGAGATTATACTGTAGTGTTTCATATGTACTGCCAAGCCTAAGATCGCATTTCATAATGTTATAGTTGTAACTTTGCTGACAATTGATTTCTAAAAGCATTATATATAAATATCTGCTTATATTGTATATTTATATACGGTGATTTATTGTTTTGCTAGTTACTGTACACCGTGGTCTTGTTTGTTGTTGCTTCGGCCCAACATGGCTGCCCACCAGGAATATTCCTCATTAGTAGCAATGATCACGGCTTAAACAGTAGGGCTCTTTAAAATGATATTTGTCCTAGGGATCCCTTGCTTGAAGTGGTCAGTCGGGAAATAGGTCCTCTTTTTTGCTTTTCAAAATATGGTAAGGTAAAGGTTTCCCTTGCCCAAAACGCAGTCGACTCTGACTCTAGGGGGCGGAGCTCATCTCTGTTTCCAAGCCGAAGAGCCAGCGCTGTCCAAAGACTTCTCCGTGCTCATGTGGCCGGCATGACTAAATGCCAAGGTGCACGGTGATGGAACGCTGTTCCCTTCCCACCGAAGTGGTACCTATTTATCTACTTGCAATTTGCTTTCGAACTGCTAGGTTGGCAGGAGCTGGGGCAAGAGACGGGAGCTCACTCCGTCATGCGGCACTCGCGTCTCGAACTGCCAAGCTACCAACCTTCCAGTCTGCAGCTCAGTGTCTTAACCTCTGAGCCACCGGCAACCCTACGCTATTACAATAGGTCTTCAGACAACCAGAATCTAGGGTTATTATTGTTGTTGTTGTTATTATTTTATTATTTATGTCCCGCCAGGTCTGGGTTGGAAAATACCTGGAGACTTTGGGGGTGGATCCAGAAGAGGGTGGGGCTCGGGGAGGGGTCTCGGCATGGTCCAATGCCATGGAGTCCACCCTTCAAAGCAGCCATTTTCTCCAGGGGAGCTAATATCTGTCAGCTGGAGATCAGCTGTAAAAGTGGGAGAACTCCAGGCCCCACCTGGAGGCTGGCAACCCTACCAGAACCCATCCCTGTGGAGAAAATGCCCGCTTTGGAGGGGTGGCCCTGATAGCATTATACCCTGCTAAAGTCTCTCCTCTCCCCAAATCCTGCCCTCGCCAGGTTTTGCCAGCTGCCTACAACCTACACATTTGTGCTTGCCCCCCTAAGTCACTTGTGGGAGAAGGGCGTCGCTGGAATTCTTCTGGTGGCGTAGAAACGTGGCCAAAATGCCAGGCATGAGACACTTACCAGTTCTGTCCGGCCTCGGGCCTGATCGACGGCAGCAGCTGCCGGAGACAGACAGGGAACAGGCTGCTCCTTGGTGGAGGGGAAAGAGGCCGGCCCTCGTCCTCGGCGGGGTATGTGGCTTCTGTCGTCTGAGCCGCTTAACGCTCCTCGTATGCTCTCATCTGGAAAAAAGAGACAGACGGACAGGCTAAAACATGTGCCGGCGGGCCCCAAACCATAATATTTGTCTCTCTCTTTCACGAGGGCTCAAGGCCCTGCTCGGGAGTGGCTCTCCATTTCCACACCTGTTGGGGTTTTTTTGTGTGTGAAGTTAAAGTGAGAAGTCAGCAACCGAGGGCCCCTTAGCAAAATCCGGCCTCTTGTTTGGCCCCCAAGTTGCCAATCCAGAGGCAAAAGGGGGGAGCGGAGGAACAGCCGATGTGGCAGAAGTAACTGTTGTCCACTGACTTCCCTTTTGTATGAGTGGCCAGCGCTATTTTTGGGCAGGAACGCACAGGAACGGAGTTCCGGCTGGCTCCCAAGTTGGATTGGCTACATTAGGGGTGTGTGGCCTAACATGCAAAGGAGTTCCGGCTACTTCTGGTAACGTGGGGGTGTGGCCTAATATGCTAATAGTCTGTGCTGTCAGGGGCGTGGCTGGATATGCTAATGAGTTTCTGTTGTTGGGTGTGGCCTATTATGCTAATGAGTTCCTGCTGGGCTTTTTCTACAAAAAGAGCCCTGCATATAACCATTGACCTACCTCTGTTGAAAGTCAGTCAATTACGTTTTGAACCCCTTGAAGTTTTCAGGAGATTTACAAAGGGCGTGTTACAGTAGGTCATCCTGGACAACTGTGACCGTCGGTATCTCGGTCCTGGCCCCGACCTGGTGGAACTCTCTGGCAAATGGCATCAGGGCCCTGCAGGAGCTTACGCAATGCTGCAGGGCCTGTAAGGCAGAGATGTTCTGCCAGGCTTCTGGTTAAGGGCAGCAACGGTTTTTTCTTTGGCTGGCACCCTCCCTTCCCCCCTTCTGAATTGTTGTTAGTGTTCCCTCTAAGCTGAGTCAGTGTGGGCCAGCTCACAGTTTTTTAGCCTCTGGCTCACACATTTTTGTCTTAGCTCAGGAAGGAGGGCTCCAGAGCCAACGAATTTATGCAGTCGCCAAACTGCTCGCTCAAAACTTGAGTGCCAGGAACTTCCAAAGTAGAAGTTTTGCTCACAAGACTCCGCAGCTTAGAGGGAGCACTGGTTATGAGTTCCTTCTCCCCCTGCCCGGAAACTGGCCTGGTAGTCCAGAGCTGGGGTAGAAATTTCTAGGTCGCCATAATTAGTGACTCTATTTGGGTCTTAGTTTTTTAAACTTTTTTGTAGAATTTTAATGCTTTATAGTTTTTTGGCATTCTGCCCTCATGTACATCGCCCAGAACTTGGTGTAAGCTGGGATAGGGCGATTGATAAATATCATCATCATGCCATGTAAATGAGTCAGTTTGGTGCCGTGGTTAGGAGTGTGGACTCTAATCTGGGAGAACCGGGTTTGATTCCCCACTCCTCCACATGCAGCTGCTGGTGTGACCTTGGGTCGGTCACAAGTTCTCTCAGAGCTGTTCTCTCAGGAGCAGTTCTTGAAAGAGCTCTCTCGGCCCCACCTACCTCACCGGGTGTCTGTTGTGGGGAGGGGAAGGAGATTGTTAGCCGCTTTGAGACTCCGAGTGAAGGGCGGGGTATAAATCCAATCTCCTCCTCCTCCTCTTTATTTATTTATTTATTTATTTATTTATTTTATAGCCCTCCCTCCCTGCAACGCGGGCTCAGGGCGGCTCACAATCAGGCATAAGCCAGCGCATAAAACACATTTAAAAACCATTTAAAACAATTTCTACAATATTACGACATTATTATTATTAAGTGCTCTGGATGTTTCGAATTGATCTTCCATAAAGATGGCGTATAATGCTGTTATATCCACTCAGTGCCATCTGTTCCGCTTGGCGCTCTCGTTCTTTCTCCCAGGGCCAGATGAAGATGGTACAGTAGTGGCGGCTCCTACTCAAATGCCTGGTGGAAGAGCTCCATCTTACAGGACCTGCGGAATTGTACAAGGTCCCACAGGGCCTGGGTCTCCTCCGGGAGCTCGTTCCACCAGGTAGGAGCCGCCACCGAGAAGGCTCTGGCCCTGGTAGTAGCCAGCCTGGCCTCCTTGGGACCTGGCATCGCCAGGAGATGTTGCATTCCTGACCGTAGTGCCCGTGGGGGAACATATGGGGAAAGGCGGTCCCTTAGGTATGCTCTTCTTCGTCATCGTCATCATCATCATCATCTCTTTTGTCCACCAAGAGTTACCAGGTTGTACCAAACGAAAGTGATGGCGCTAACTCACAGCCTCCAAGACGACCCAGCTTGTGATGACAAAAATTGGTTGTTGCAGACTTTCCTGGAACGGAAAGCCAGAAGTGTCCACGAGACACATAGCAGATCCCCGGTGCATCGCCCCTCCCGGCGCCCTAAGATGTCCTTCGCTGATCATAAATGCCTCATTAAAGCAAGTCACTGAAGGTCTAATCTAATGAGCTGCCAAACTGAGATGCGATCGAAGAGCGTTCGGTGTCCCACGCTTGCCGTCCGTGCGCCTTATCGTGTTCGCAAAGGAAAACATGCTAGATAACGAGGATAAGAACAGTGGGCTGAGCCACGTGCCCTGGGAAGGAAGCACCCGCTCCTCTCCTGCATGCCAAAATGCTCATACCTTTCTTCCAGATTCACTAACTGGGGGAAGAAAAGGAAAGCCATATCTGGAGACCTGACCCGGATATTCCAGGCCAGCTCAATCTTGTCAGATCTTGGCAGCTAAGCCCTGGTTAATATCTGGATGGGAGACCACCAAGGAAGTCCAGGGTTGCTACTCAGAGGCAAGCAGTGGCAAGTCACCTCTGTACGTCTCTTGCCTTGAAAACCCTCCGGGGCCACACTTTTCCGCTCCTGCTGCTTCTGATATCTGCCTTGCTCTGCTCTCCCCTGCCCGTGAAGCAGCCAGCGGTCTGAAATTGGCTCCATTAGTAAATGCCATTGGGGTTTTTTTTTTAAATATGTTCTTAACTCTTTTATCTTGCTGTGTTTTTATGAATGTTGTACATAGTCCAGAGCCCTGTATTAGCAGGGACTGGGCGACTGACAAATTTAATATGTAAATAAAATGAAATAAGTAAATTAGTCGGTTGCAATTTGATGGCACTTTCCGCCAGCAGATTTTGCCAGCCACAATTGCCGAGAGCTGAGATCATTCATGGAATGAACAAACTTTGCACAGTGAAACACTGCACAGCGAAATTGTGTTGCCAGTGCTGGTGCTTTCCTTTAAGAACATAAGAACATAAGAGATGCCAATGTTGGATGAGGCCAAAGGCCCATCCAGTCCAACACTCTGTGTCACACAGTGGCCAGAAATACCAGGTGCCATCAGAAGGTCCACCAGTGGGGCCAGGACATTAGAAGCCCTCCCACTGTTGACCCCCCAAGCACCAAGAAGACAGAGCATCCCTTGCCCCAGAGTCCCTATCTATACCTTGTGGCTAAAAGCCACTGATGGACCTCTGCTCCATATGCTTATCTAATTCCCTTTTGAAGCCGTCCATGCTTGTAGCCGCCACCACCTCCTGTGGCAGTGAATTCCATGTGTTCATCCCTCTTTGGGTGAAGAAGTACTTCCTTTTATCCGTTCTAACCCGACCGCTCAGCAATTTGGCGTAAGGAGCCTTATGCTGATCCGGTGCAGCTGCTGTGTATCACACCAGTATTTCTCATAGCAAATATATCATGTATGGATAACAGGCACAGCATTCTTAAGTAGCTTTGTGCACGCAAGTGCCCCATTGTGTGGCAACAAGATGATGACGGGGAGTAGATTCAGGATTCAGGCTTTTTACATGACAGGTGATTAAAATGTGGAATTCGCTGCCAGAGGACGCAGTGATGGCCACAGGGATAGACGGCTTTAAAAGGGGATTAGACAGATTCATGAAGGATTGGTCTTTCTGTGGCTACTAGGCATGGTTGCTGAGGGGAACCTCCACATTCAGAGGCACTAAGCCTCTGAATCCCAGAGCCAGGAGGCAGCATCAGGAGAAGGCCTCAGCCTCTCTGCCCTGCTGTTGGCCGTCCAGAGGCAATGGTTGGCCACTGTGTGAGACAGGATGCTGGACTAGATGGACCCTCCCTGGTCTGATCCAGCAGGGCTCTTCTTACGTTCTTATCAGGGGAAGGCCTCAGCCTCTATGTTCTGTTCTTGGACTTCCAGAGGAACTGGTTGGCCACTGTGTAAGGTAGTATGCTGGACCTGATGAACCACTGGCTTGATTCACTAGGGCTCTTCTCATGTTCTTAAGCTTTAAGGCCTCTGGGCAGTGTTCAAAGCAATCTTATGCGACTTGGGAAATCCATATCTCATTTGAGGGTAAAAACAAATGAGGCTCCAGGAGATATCATTTAAGGATCTTCAAAAATTATGCTGCAGATGTCCATAATGTGGTCAGAAGGTGGTCAAAAATCACAAGAATGTCCATAATGTGGTCAGAAGGTGGTCAAAAATCACAAGAAAGTAGAAATAACCCACAACTGGACCTTCATGATGTTTTCAAAAGGTAAATTTTAGCATCACAAGCTAAACACCCTTTCTCTTCCTCCATCCAACTTGGGGTCCCCTCAGATCTGAATTTACCATTTAAAGATGCTGGGAGATGGGTAATCTAACTGGACCCTGAGGGTAGCTCGGATAGAATACCAATTGCATGCATGTTCTATGTTATTAATATAAAGAAGGTGAGGGCTGCTATTTCCCCATTTATCTATGTATCTTATTTATAGTCTGCCTTTCTCACTGGGAATCAAGGCAGATTACACAGAGTGAGTCAATACAGTCAACAAGGTGGGACGCTCAATAAACCATGCAATGGGGTTAGGGTTGCAGAACCAACCCGAAGTCTAAAAAGCAGAACTGGAGCAAAGCATAAGTGTACACAGGACATGGAAACGCAGAGGGAACCTACAATCAAGATTATTGGAATCTGCCTACAAAGCCAAATACAACCAGGGCTATTTTGGGGCAGGAACGCACAGGAACGGAGTTCTGGCTGGCTCCCGAGTTGGCCACACCCAGCAGGAACTCATTAGCATAATAGGCC